TTTTTTTTTTTTTTTTTTTTTTTTGTAAAAGAAGGGAAGCATAGAGGAGAGGAGATTTTTCTGGGGAAAATTACTTGATTTAAGTAAAAAATAAGACTTACAGAAGAAAAAATTTAAAGAACTACAAAATTTGCCGTTATTGCTGTTCATTATTTTTTTGAACTCTGGAGAGGAATAAGGGCTTTTATTGTAATTTTCAGTCCTTTCTCTGTACCAGAAGTGCTGAGGTAACTACATGATGGCCTGTAAGTCCTAAAGTGAAGCTATTTTCGTGCTGCAGTGTGAAAAGGGTTGATGACTTCTTGTCACACTTTGAGGCCATATTGAGTCTCTGTCTCATTTTGTCTTGTTTTACAATATTTGTCTTGTTTAGCAATATTTTAAATTCTGGATTGCTTAAAATCAGATGTGGTTTGAAAACATGTATTACTCTTGCTTTCTGGTTAGCTTTGCCTTACCAAGACCCCCATAGATTTGAACTTATCCACTCTTTAAATCAAAGAAAAAAAGAAACTTACCAGAAACCTTCATGTTAGCAAAACACAGAGGAGCCATTTAAATACAAGTGGTAATATGTACTTAGTCAGAGAAACTATTTTTCAAAGTGTGATATTTGCATCACTTTTCTGAGAATCACAGGGAGGTTTGTTAAGAGTGCGGATGCCAAGCTCCAGCCCCACCGTGCACACTGAAGTTTGAAACATCCCCCCTCCCCCGTTTTCAGTGCTTGTTTTCGAGAGACACCAGGACTATTTTGAAAATTTGAAAAGCAAAAGTCTGTCCCCAAGAATCTTAATCTGTTTGGGCATTTAAGTAAATAATATAGCCAGGCAAGGTTACACACACCTGTAATCCCAGAGCTTGGGAGGCTGAAGCAGGAGGATCGCCGCAAGTTCAGGGCCAGCCTGAACTACATAGGGGGACCCTGCCTCAAATGAACAAACAAACAAATGGATGTCAGTGCAGTTCCTTTTTACCCAAATTGTAGTTACTCTAAATTTGTTTCATATATACTTAATATAAAACACTTTTTAAAAAAATTTAGTATTTTTGTAGCTTTTAACCTAAAGACTTCTGTAATCCATTGCCTTATTCCATTTTTCCCCTTCATATTTACTGAAAGAACAAGTATCAGCATTAGATGTCTAAAGGAATTAGTAATAAACATTTTTACAAAATAAACCTATTGAAATGGATTTTAAAAGATATCAGAATAATCGACTTTATGCATTGACTGTTTAGGTGCAGCTACATTATAGAAAATGTCTTTAAAGCTCCACTTAACTCAAAAGTAAAACTGTCAGAGAATGTGTAATAATTTTAAGACCATGATAGTGGAGTAATAGCAGTGGGGTGGTGAGAGTGTGAAGAAATATAACAAGATACTGTTAGGTTGTTTATGCAGTATTTCTTAAAATTGTCTACCCCTTGTGTATTCTAAAAACTAAAGATTAAATTTTCATGTTACTTCTGCTAGATATGCTGCTCTTTGGTAGAAAATTCCCATAGTCTATATTCAGGGAGTGCCTGAAATTGATTTGTGTTGATTTTTAAGTCCCATCTAATAAATTATATAGGTTTTGTATGGTTAAAAAAAATAGTATTTTAGAACTTTAGGAAAAGACTATTAGCTAAGTCATTAACCAGTTTGTTATTAATAAGCAAAACAATTCTAGACTTATGTGATTAACTTTATTTCTTATAAATGAATAATTCTGTCATGAATAGTTTATGAGTTATAGGACTAAGCTTTCAGATGTTATTTCCATCTTGTAAACTTTTTCTTGAGCTGTGTGCTTTTATCTCGAGCTGATGCTTTAGAATCTTATTTGTCTGGATTGTTCAGTATGGCAGGCACTAGCTGCATGCAGTGATTAAAATTTAAATTTAAGTAAAAATAAATTTTAAATTTAGTTCCTCAGTTACATAGCTCATTTCAAGTGTTCAAAAGCCACATGCAGGTAGCGTTGTGGAAAGTGTAGTCATAGAGCATTTCAGTCACTGCAGGATTCTGTTGATTGGGTAATGATATTTTAGGATGCACTTTTCCACAAGTCTAGTGGTTTTCTGCTTGCTTTCCTATTATGTAGATGTTTGATGCCTGGGTGTTTTTTTTTTTTTTTTTTTT